GGGGACGCTATCGCTTCTTTTATTGGCTGTTGGAAAGTTGCCCAGAAACTGGGTCAAAATGCGTCACAAAACAGTCCCACAATGCAATTCCACGCAACACGGACCCAGGCCCCGTCCACACGTATTCGATTATGTTTGGAAACGGAGATTTTTCCCCCCTCCGTTTGCGAAAAAATACGCGTGCACAAGTAGCGTATTCGCCCGTCCACACGAAAACGCTAAAAGGAAATTCATTAACGTACATTTCTTTTACTCTTTTTTTATTTAGCAAGCAAATCTGATACATTATTTGTCAGATCCTACAAGGAATTTGACACTTTTTGCACCGTCCGTCTCCGCATTATCTCTGCTCTCTGACGCGGACAAACAATATTGGACCAACAGTACAGAAAGGCTGCAATATCTGATAAGGTAGGTTCCTTTAGTTTTTCGGATAAGAAATGGCCAGAATTTCATATTTAAGCGTTTTTTGAGGTTTGGTGCTTGAAAAATCCGTCATGTTCTTTTCGGTGCTTCGTCGAAATGCAACACGGGGCTTTTTTTAAGAAGAATTTTCCCCAGTTCCCGTGCGACCTCGTATGATCCAGTTCAAGAGGCGACAGCGTTCCCATAAAATAGTTCCATAATGCAATTCGACACAGCATCGACCCAGTGTTGCGCGCGGCTATAATTTTCCGCTAATCCCTTGGTCTGATCTGCTATACCCAAGAATCCAGAGGTAAATGAAATTTAGCGATGCATGAACTTCTGTATTTGTTTTTTTAAATTTTTATAGGTACCATCTTGTAGATAAGTCGTACAGTCTAGAGCAGCTGAAGGGAATGAATGCATTCAACGCTTCCAATGGTCTGACGCTGAACATAACTACACGGGCACAAATGGTATGAAGTGTACTCCTTAAGCTACCTGCAAATGGATGTCAACAATGGTAGGAGTTGTTTCCTCTTTGGCAGAGGTCTGCAAACAGATGCAACAACTCCCAAAAATGTTGGGACCTGCAGTGCGTTGTGGGAAGGAAACAACCCATAATACTTTGTAAACTTGAAGTCGACAGCCATCCTAGCTCTTGCGAGGCCCCAGCAATGTTGAAGGTGCCCGGCAAACGGATGTCAAGTTGTTGCGCTACGCTTCGGTTATCACGGAATAAAAGAAATGTTGGGAGTTGTTGGTTCAAAAGTTTGACCGGTTTCAAACTTTCCTCAACAACTCCCGACAACACGGACGCAACATGTAACGTCCAACAGTGTTGCGTCCGTTTGCCTGGGGCTTTACCTAGCTGAAGTTTTCGCCAACAGTGCTCGCTCCAGTGCTCGTAGCGAGAAGGCAAATGAGCGGCGAAGCTGCGGTAACGCGCAAACGGCGAGTTTTTCGTTGTTTCTGCTCCATTCTTCTCGCGGCCTTTCCACCCAGCTACGCTGGGCTATACCAGAGGCTAACTTTAGTTTAAAAACACTTGACACCTAACAATGAAATCTTCACGTGATCGTCACGTGCTCGGATGGTTACTTGGCAATGGCAATTCCGTCTCCACGAGGGGACGTAAATACAGCCTCTTTAATTTAGTACTTTTGTGCTAAATACATTGACACTCAAGTAAGTTGTGTTTTTTCAGGTTTATATTGGTGATTCAGCAAAAGTCGTGCAAGCAAATGTCACCACGGAAAATGGATTTGTTCATATCATCAATAAAGTAAGGCACCGAGAAGTAACGCATTTTTTTAAAATTAGACAAGTTCAGTCTTTTGCTCAAGTCTAGCGTATTGTTTTAACAGCGACCTTTCTTAAATGACCCTTTTTTCCCTTAAACAACCAACTTTCTCCTTAAAATTCCATCTTTTTTCTTCAATAGCCACCTCTCTTAAATGTCCGTTCTCTTTCTTAAGTAACTTAAGCCTTTGTTACACAGCCACATTTTTTTTAAAATGAAAATTCGACTTCTTTTCTTTTAATAGTCATCTGTTGTAGAAAACAGTTGCACGTTACCTCTGCGATTCAGGGTAATCTCAGCAAAAATCGAACGACAAGCCTGGGGAGTAGTCTAAAGCCCCCCCCCCCTCTTCGGAGGGAGCTATCCCGTATAAGCTATTATAGGCAGTTACTTCCACACTAGGCGGGGGGGGGGGGAAGGGACGGGGGGAATTTAGGAAGCGTCCCGCAAATTAATAGAGAGCTTTAGAGGCTAAGACGAGGACGACAACGAGAACGAGATTTTCTCAATACTAAGTAGTGCGCGCGCTCGAAACAACGTCATCTTGGCGGGAAAATGTGGCAGCCATCGCCATTCGACTACGAGTTTTAGCGAGAGTGTCGTATTGGCGAAAACAAGTTACCAAATATAGGAAATTTTATCATATAGCGATCGGGAGAGGGCTTCACCTTCTTCAACGGTAATAAGCGTACTAACTTTTTTGGTGAAAAAAGTACAAGGAAGCTTTCCTGGATGTCTATTCTTCGAGAATAGTCGAGAAATCTTAAAATGAAATGTCGTCCTCGTCTCCAAATCTAAAGCTCTCTGTTATCGTTTGGCGCTTCTTTGAGTTTTAACTCTTTGCAGTTCAACTAATAATCGACCTTTCGTTATTTTGTTTAGGTTCTTCTGCCTCCACGTTTGTCCTCTGAAAATCAACTTCCTTTAACTTCAGAACTTCTTAAGAGTATATCGGAGTTTTCTGATTTCTATACCACCTTAAAGGTACCGTGCTGTTCTGTTTAAGTATATATGACACGGAATCTTTTTAAACTGATTTTCGTGTATTAGATGAGTTTAATTAACACATGTGAACTTTCAAAAAAATGTCTCCCTCAAAATTTCTTGAATTTAGCCTTATAAAATCTGCTTTCTCCTCTCACAAATGTCCCAGAGACTGGGACAAATAAAGAATTAAAAAAGAGGGATGACATCATGTGACGTCAGTTAGTTTACTCAGGCTTTGCTTCCGATTCTGGTCATTGCTTTGTGTTTTGTGGAATTAAGCGATGTAACCGACTGTAACGAAGGTATAGCGAAATAAATGAAAGTTTTGAAGATGATTGGGTAGTCTTCGAGGGGCGCTTTCCAAAAGTCAGAACTGGCTGGCTGGACCATGGCCGAACCAGACATTCTGACCATAAAATAGTCTTTTTCCAAGATGTTTTGCGGAAAAAACTTATCTCCTTTGTGGGTAATGTTTAGGTTTGGACTGGTCTGGATGGTTAGTTTTGATCAAAAGTGAAATTCTTATTACGACGGGCTGGCCGAACACTGAGTTCTGACAAATGGAAAAAGCACCCTTCGACAACGATAATCCTTCGTATCCTGGGAGTGAAAGAGTCGAAAAGTTGTTTAAGCGTTGAGTGTATAATTGGCATTTTACACAGTATTCTGATATCCACACTTCTTAGTGTCAGCTGAAATCCGCTCGGCAGGACCTTTGTTTTGAACTAATGCTGCATAACTGTTTTGTAGAGTCTGCAGCTGTTGTCGTTGCTGGACGCCTGCGATGCTTGTACAGTATTTGCTCCCACAAACCCTGCACTCAAGAATAACAACCTGGTAAGACTCAAGATAAAACGTAGTTTTTCTCACACGCCAGTGGGGCCTGGGACTAGGTCATGTGACAAAGTGGGTAGTTGCTTTTGTTGCATCCGCCATTGCTGACTTTTTCGCCTCTTCTCTTTTCAATTCTTTTTTTACGTTGGTACTTGTTGCCCCCCCAGGGATTGCGCTCAGAGGGCGAAATCCCGAGCAGACATCCCAGTAGCTCGCGCGTATATATAGAGAGGTACATGCAGTTGAAATATACAGTCAGTTTACAAGAAAAAATCTCGATTTGCTTGACCAGGGTCCGCATGGAATCGTTAGGTAATGATGACGTTTCCACATTTCCCACAATGCACCTTTTTTGCCCCCAAAAGTTTGCATAACCTTTGTTTTTCAATTCTCCTGGGTATAACAGCCGTCCCAAGACAAATTGAAAACAATGCTTGTGCAAAATTTTGGGGTACAAATAAGGTGCATTGTGGGAAGTGGCGTATATTTCAATACTCTTTTGTGTTACGGGTTATCAGTGACATTCTGTGGAGCAGCTGTTTTGAAAGTTATGGACCAAAAGACACTTGATAAGCGCGAATAAAGTTATGGGGTGCGTATAACTGTGTATATATAAACACTTGAAGAGTTTGCCAGACGCGGGTTTATCATTCATTCACAAATCTATGATTGGAAACAATCTGACAGACACTCTTTCTCTCTCTTTGGGGGAATAAGACTCTGTCCACAAATAAGCAAGACGAGTGAATCAACGGCTAGCTCATCACCACGATGGACGATGGACGATGGACGATTAAAGAAATTCGCTGACAATTAAATTCCTCGCTGATGTACTCCATGCTCACAAATGGCCTTCTATATAGTTTTTTTTTTTAAGTATTGTCTTAATGGTCAAAACTGAAATGACTAGAACGCGCAAGTATGAACTGATCAAACCTTTTAATTTCTAAGGCTTACTTTCAGGCTAATAAAATGAACTGTATGTAAGAAGTGTAAGAGAAATAGCGAAAACTTCCAACTTCTAATCAAAGCCTCTCTTATGGTTTATAATAAAATATACTCGAAACTGAGAATGTTTTGATCAAAGCTGTGTAAATTGAACTGAATCAAGCGTGGAACCTTACGTTTCCTGTTTTTATCTCACCTATTGTATGGAATATTTGTGAAAATTTTCTGATAAATCGGTATATTTCAAAGAGCTATGCAACGACCAACAAGAATACTTTTGATCGACAACATACAGAGCGGGAGCAGCTGTAGTGTCAACTATTACTAGTATACATAAATTGTTCGTTAGTGCACGTCTAAAAACTTTCCCATTTGTGTACTTTTCCAGCTTATAGTGCGAGGTACAATTTCGTTCTTTTCTCAGTCTGATTCTTGATCTCAGATTATTTGGATCCGTAACGACGAAGGAAAACTAACAAAAATTGTCTCTTAAGCGCAGAGGAAACACTAACGTTTTATGACACTAAAGTTTTAAAATACCAGTTTGAAAATGTTCTTTACATGAGAGTGTGCCGCGAAGGAATTCCTCCATTTTCCATTCATGATTAAACAATTCATCACCTGAAGGCCATCGCTTTTCCTCGGCTTCACCCATCGAATTGGTCGTTTGTACCAAATATCCTTCCGCGTGAATATCAATGTCTTCCTTGAGGTCTCTCAGTCCAAGAAATTCAATGAAGTTCTTCACTCTACTTCGGACTGGTCGACGATGGTGTCTGTCCAGCAAGAAACTTAACCATGTATGGTTGCAATCAACCATTACCTCTCCTCTGTTTGGACCCTTAAGTTTGATAAATGGCCCTTTTATACAAACCACGTACGTGCGAGATTTTAAAGTGAAAATAAAAAAGGGTTGTTTTCTCTTTAAACACGTTTCCCTTATTTTGGCTGTCAATTCCTGATCATCGGGTCCTGCGTCCATCCGATACACATACCATCTATGTGTGTATTCATCGGTGCCTCCTATTCCAGCATTGAACTGCACTATTCCTTGGTACAATTCCAAATCATCGTCTGATTAAATAGAAAAAAATTAAATGTAAGAAAGCGGACAGTAGTTGGCCACCAAATGATCTACGTACAAGCAATGCACAAAGCCTTGTCTCTCAAGCAAGAAACTGTATGAGTTCAATTATTTTAATCGCTTTTGCGTTGTTTCTAGCAGTTTGATGCAACTTTTATATGGGCGTCTGTTGTACAGGGAGCAGGAGGCGTTCACGAGAGAGGGAGCATCAATAAGATTATTTACGGTACACTTCACACCCGCGTCAAACCGGGACTTCTTGGTCCTGTGTCTCGCGTGTTCTAAAAGGGGAAGCTTAACTATTCTTTTTTTTTTTTTTTTCATCAACTCCATGTGCAAGCGAATTCATTTTAGAGCTTTCCTATTGACAAATTTACCCTTGGCACGTGTTTTTCAATGTTTGTTTACATTCGCGCTTGTTTCCGTTTCTTGCTGATTGGAGGAAATCTGACAGCTCAGTCGACAGGGAGCCACAGGGGAATTGGAGGTGGAATTCTAATTCCAGAGACGTAGTTGTAAGCTATTTCCCGCCCCGCCACCAGAGAGCCCCGGATAACTTGTTAGCAGGCTATCCTAAAAAGAAGCTTTCGTAGCTATCTTATGTGCCAAGGAATCTCATTTCGTACGTTAACACCTAGACAGGAAAAATAGCTCTTCGTATTTTTTTTTTTCAGGAACTTGTCTGATAATTAAGCCGTGTACCGGCTTCTGCGCGCAATTTTCCAAACAGTGAATCAAGATCACGCTGTCGCTAAAATAATTTTAAAATTTCCTCGTTCTTTCTACCGTTTTAATATCTTTTGACCCAAAAGAATTGCCGTAGAATAAAACAAAAGTTAAGTTCTTGACGTTATCTGCGAAATATGCGCATATGCAATTTCGCGAAACAAAAGGAGCTAAAAGAAGGAAACAATAGCGTGCTGTATTCATTGTTTAGTTTGTCGCCTACATCACTTAATGAGCATCGTCGTGCAGTTTAAGCGCTTCGCAAAATCTGGGCATGATTGAGCCAAATATGATAGACACAGGGAAATATTGCCATTTAGTACTCTTAAGGAATCGCCAGCACCCCATGTCTGTTAGACTCGATCTTAGTGCGAAAAAGGCGCCAAGCACATGGCTGCGACGTGACACAAACCGATCGCCGATCGGTCGTGCTCAGTGGTGTTCCATATCATCTGGAAACCAAGCTTCTACGTTTTAGAATTCGATCGTCGTTTAGTGGAAACCACGAGCCAACAAATTAACATTGAAAAACCAATCGTCAATTAAATATTAGAGAACTTAAGTCTGAAGACCAAGCGGTTTGGTTCCATTGCATGCTAACTACTTAGGTTTCTAGGTTATCTTCCTAACTTGAATCAAATAAAAAAAATTTGATTACCGGAATGCGATTCCATTTTCGCATTAACTCGTTGACTGTGCAAGAGAACAACAACTTCCTGTAAAGCCCTGGATTCTTCAGGAACGACGTTTCACCCGCCTTTGCGAGTAATGAAAATTGCAACGAATCAAAAGACGACTGTAAGACTCCAAATTTACTGTTTAGCGCTAAGCGCTGCCGATTTTATAATGGTCTACCCTCCCGCCAAAATCAATGCTGACCAATCACCGTCTTTTATAACCAAATAAGGAAATCACCTGACGTTCTGCGAGCATAGTGTATCTATTACATACAACGATTGAAAGTCTCTATGTGTTACTAGTAAAACGTTTGGACATATTTATTGCTTTTTTATCTGAGTAATCTGGGATTTAGTGAATAGTAATAGCCATAGTGGATTTCCATTACAGTCTATAAATCGTTCCTAATATGCAAAACAGTATCGAAACATATGAAAGTGGAAATGATCGATCTTCGCAGTTGAATAAACAGCCTAAGCGGTTGAAAAAGAACCAAGTCAGCTTGCGTTCACTTCAAGGAAAATAACACCGATGACAACACGTATGAGGTTGTTTCGACGTGTACAAGATATTCTTCTGTTTAGTTACGGGTGCTTTTTTAGGTTGTGTATTTTTCGTAGAAAACGATAGGTGCTTTCTTGGAAAGACCGGAAGTCTTTCAAACTACTTGTTCCCATACCTCTCTATCAGCGCGCATTCTCGTCCCCAGAGCCCGTCTTTGTTTTGAGGACGAGAATGATCAGTGCGCGTAACAGCTGGCGTCCATAAATTCTGCTTAGTACAGGGCACTGCTAGTTTTTTTGATAGTCTTTCTTGTTTTTGATTCCCTGCTAGCAGCGACCTCTTTTCGCCGGTATTCGGCAGGCAGGAGGAAAAGATTACCAGTAAAAAGAGGCCTTTGCTAACAGGGAGTTTTCTTGATAAAGATGGTATCCGCGGTCGTGACGTAAAAAGTTTATTTTGCATACTGAAATAGCTAAGTGGTACGAGTTAACGACTTATTATCACTGTATATCCCTCTTGCCTCAATTTCTTTAGTCTGCCGACACTTTGAAGTACCATGTTGTGAAGCAGTATCTCTCGGAGGAAACGATACGAAACGGAGAAGAATATTCCTCTTGGCTCGGAGACAATTTTCTTGTCAAAGTGACCAAACCCGGACAGGGAATGGTTAGTAGAATGACCTCTGGTTGCAGTCAATACACTTACCGCGTTCCACCCGATATTTAGGAGTGGTACTGACTAACGGATTGCATCATCGGAATCAAAAGTTTCACTTTTAACGTTTTGAAGTTTAATCCTTGAGCCCCCAAATTAAATATTTCAGGCAAATTGTTAGTCACCCAGCACGTTTATTTTGTGACTTTCTTTTTGCTGTTTTTTGTGTTGCTTCGGGCTGTTCACTAGTACTCATTTAAAAAATTTAACAAGTGATATAAGCCAATAGTTCACACACGAACTATAATCCTTTGTTGGCAGTTTCACTCAGTTATTCATCAAGAGTTTTTTTTTTAATGTTCAGGGAACATTTCTCGTTCTAAAATAGAACACTCGCTTTAACAATTCTGCTTACAGGTGTAGCTTATGTAAGATGTGTCTGTTGTCTTTCAGCTTAGAGTCAATGGAATTGAAGTGGTGATTAAAGGACAAAAGGCCAGGAAAGCAATGGTATTTGGAATAAATGGGGTTCTGGAACCTGTACGGAGGAACTGTGACGAGATTAGACCTGATTATTTTCTTGTAAGTCACTTAGTCTTAATGACTATAATATTAATCATAACTATAACAAAATTGTCAAATCTGATTGGCTCTCAACTGCCCTGATTTCAGCCTTAATTGGACAGTACGCGTCATGCCTAAGTAATTGGACAGTACGCGCCATCACGCGCGCTCAAATGGCTTTTTTTTCACTGCTCGCAAAACAAATTTTCGAATTTCTTGTGTTTTGGTTTAAAAAATAGCCTATTGTATCACAAATTTTGTTAAAGTTATGATTAATTGGTAACAGAACTTCGTGTCGTCCAATTCGGTCTGTAATCATACTCGTGATTAAACAAATCGGACTCCCGGTACGCGGTCGTCCGATTTTGTTAATCCCTCGTATGATTACAGACCGAATTGGACTTCACTCAGTCCTGTTACCATTACTAATAATCAAGATAATTATGTTGGTGATAATAATGACAGTGATAATGATAATGATAATGATGATGATGATGATGATGAGGATAACAATAATGATAATAAAATAACAGTAACAATAAGAATAAGAATCATAACCAGATTTTTGGGACACTATTTCTATTAATAGTTATTCGAGATAATTCAAAATAAAACTTTCAGGAAAATGCTGAGAATGAAGTATCTGTGACTTTCTAATTATTAATTAATAATTGTTGTGGCACAGATATGAGAAGGAGGATGGTTCCATCGTGTCATCCACCTATTTTTGAAGTCTACAAGAAAAATGGAGAAAGTGAAACGACAGCATAATATTGCATTTGGTTACTCACTTTATTATTAGGGAAGAAAGAGCTCTTTAATCTTTAATCTTTAATCCAGTTCGTAACCATACATAACTGATACAAATGAACTAATACTAACATATACAATCGAACAACAACAAAAAAAGGTTAACAGGACGGTAGTAGGGGGAAACCAAATTCCCATGCTAAGACATACCCTCCAAAAAAGAAAAAGGAAAAAAATGATTAATTAATATATAAACATATTTAAAAAGACTATAAATTAGACTAATAATAATGCATAAACTTATATTAAAGACACTATGCCTAGTATTTTAAGGTAAATTATGAGCGAAGGTACTTAATCAGTGAAACTTCAAAAGACTGAAGGCTAGGAGATGACATTACTTCAGAAGGCAAAGAGTTCCAATCATTAATATATCTACCAAAAATGAATATTTAAAATAATTTGTACGGGCAACTTTAGGCCTTATTTTATACTCATGCTTACTTCTAGTTTGAGTTATTCCAATAATATCAAAGTAATGATGGCAATTGATATCACAATAACCCAACATAATCTTATACAAAATTTAGCTTGTATTTTTTATTTTCCCAATGCAGGTCATGTGATAGTACTCTTAAGAACAGTTTCTTTTAAATTTCGTCTTATTCACTTGCGTATGTACGCATAATTTATGATAATACAAAGGGGCATATTCCCATGGGACCATGCAAGCTAAAGAGGTCTATCGCTGCGTAGTCGTTTCACTGAGATATTAGGGACTTTAAGATCCAACGACGCGGACGGCGACGAGAACGTCAAAAAACAATAGGTTTTATAAACAAAACAACAGCTTTGCACGTGCATCACACTTTTTGTGTACATTTCTTTCCCGTTTTTGCACGACTACGACTTGAAAATGCCTAATTTCGTGTTTTATGGAGGACATAAACAAGCAACGACGAAATTTTATTTCTCTTTCTGAGCTTGGATATGGTCCCTTGAAATTTAGCTTCAGGAGGGTTCCCCTACATTTGACAAAGTAATTGGGTACGACTAATCGCTATAAAGACTGAAAAAACGAAAACACACTTTTTTAAGAGACGTTCTCGTGGCCGTCGCGTCGTTGGATCTTAAAGTCCCTCTTAAGGAGCTTAAGCAACGACGACGACAACGGCAGTGAGAAGTCGCTAAGAAATGAATTTGTGTCCTTTCAAACTTAATCGCATCAATTTCGACCCGCATCATGTGAAGTGCGGGCGACTTTTCCTGTAATTGAATTCTTAAGGACTTTATCCAAGTTCAAAAAGAGAAAGGAGAATTCGTCGTCGTATGTCCACGTCCTCCATAAAACGTCAAATTAGGAGG